ATTATATTAATTAAAATATTAAATAATTAATAAAATGGAAATAGCTCTCTCAGATGTAAAAGAAATTATCAAAGCTTTAAAATTGGCTAATTTAGTAAAGAAATAGGATTAGAATTATAATGTAGGCAAGAAATCCTATATAATTTTTTATCCCTTAAACGGTAGAACCCCGCAGGCAAATTTGCCTGCAATTTTACCCAAATTTTAGCTTTCATCTATTTTTAAAAATATTAATGCTACTTAATAAAAATTTTTTTCTGAATTGTTTTAATTTTATATCACGTGACTATGATCATCATTTTCTAATTTACATATTAGAATGTTTAGTTAATCATTAACCAAAAGTTTGCACTTTACATTAATAGCCGTTTTTTAAAAAATTTTGTATATATTTTGGCGAACTCACTGGGGTTTGATTATAACTCACCAAACCTTAATTGGTGATCCGTGAGTTAAGTAGCGAAAACGATAATAAAATTTGGCGGAAATTTATTAATTAAAAGTCACATTTCCGAATGTGGAGTTGTTCATGAATTTCTCTAGCCAAATGTTTAAATAACGCCATTTTGCTTTAATGAAATAGTTTTCCACAGTTTTCCCACCAATCTCATGCAAAAAAACCATAATGTAACATTGGAAAAAAGTCCAATTTCTAAGAGATCTAAGATTTGAAAGACAAAAACTAGTTTTATCATACCATATCACTTGTATAATGAGTGTGAAAAAGTCTTGAATTTGTCAGTTTAGAAGTTATTACAGCATAGTTTACTAATAAAATATATCAAAAATAAAGCAATATGCATAAAAGTTTAGTGAAATATAAAAATATTTTCATAATTTGTACTTTTAAAACCTTAGTTTACCTAATAACATAGTAAATGCCGCGTGTTTCCAAGGTAAATTTCGTCAAAAAAAAGTTTTACACTTTGTAGCTTTGAAAAATAAAAGTGTGACATTTACTTTATTGTTTGTGTTATTTTTAGTAAACTATGCTTTATAGTTTTTATTACATCAGAAATCATTAAAGTCAGCGTATTACGACAAATTAGTATATGATTTGCGTCAAATTTTATATGTAATTTCTCTAGTTGACTCGCAGATCATCAATTAATAATAAAATGCAGAGTAGTTTATGAGAAATAATTTTTATTATTTGAGTTTTTAAGATTTAAAAATAAGATTTTGAAATTACATAATAGCTTAAAAAAAGAATAATTTTCATAAAATACATAAAAAAAGTGCAATGTAAATGTTATGAAAATTAACTAACTTTAAATGGAAAAAATAAAAACTAAACTTTGTTTTTAATTATCATCTTCCTTATATGTATGAAAATCTTTAAAACAATTACTTCTTTCCTTATTACAACATAAGGCTAAATCACATTTTATGCAATATAATTATGATTGAAGTGGATTTTTTGCTGCTTTTTCTTGATTTTTTTTATTAAATATTTACACCATACACAACTACTTCTTGTTTCTCTCCATTCAGGATAATGACCTTCTGGAAATAATCTTATTATAGGAAGCTCATATTTTGCTGTAACATATTGCTGAGGATCAATATAAATAAACTTAAATTGATTTGTTAATTTATCAACTTGGTTTCGTGTATGTGGTTTTTTTTCACTTTCTTTTAAACTTTCTTCAATTAAATCCCATACTATTTGTAATCTAAAATCCTTATGATTAATATTTGTATTAACTTTTTTTAATATTAAATATGAATTAACTAATGCAGTATCTAAAAGCCAAAAAAACAGTGGCATCCATGTCCTTCGTACTGGTAGCTGAGTCCCGTAATACCCTCGTAATTGATCAGAAATATCAACTCTACCTATGAAGTGGTTATAGTCATCAATTATAACAGGAATTAGTAAAGTTTTTTTGCTTAAAGTTCCAAAAATTGCTCAGACTTTAGCTGCATTTGTGCTTGTCTGTCGTGGTCGATGTCGTACTCTTTCTATTTGATTTTCATTTTCATTATTAATCTGATGAATAGTAGAAAGCATCGTCACTGGGCCATTATCCATCCACAAAATAGCTAATACATTGTCAACAACCACCCCAAAAGTGTGTCTTAATCTAGTTTTTTATTTGCTTTAAAAACCTTTGGGAAATTAGCACTATTTGTATAAACAGTTCCACATGCTCCTATTTTTTTTTCACGCAAATATTTAAAAAGTTTAATACTAGAAAAATAATTATCCATATAGATATTGAATGATTTATCTTCTATTGGTAATTGAGATATAAGGTGATATACTTCATTTCCTACTTTACTTAAATCTGATACTTGCTGAATTTCTGGGTGGGTTTGAATTCTGAAGGTAAAAATAAAAGTGTATGTATAGCCAGCATCACAAAGAGAAAGAATCTTGTAACCTTCTGGAGTAGATTTGTTTTTAATTCTTACAGTATGAGCACTTTTTCCAGAAAATCTTGCAATCATCTCATCAATAGAAATATTTGATGATGGTATACAAATTGTTTTGGAAACTGTTCGGATATGAGTTGCTAAAGGATCTACCTTTGAATACCAAAACTCAGGCAGAATAGTACAATCTGAAATGTGTATGAAATGTTTAATCTAAATATATCAATAAACAGTTTTAATAAAATTTAATTAATTTAATAAAATTATTAAAATAATTAATAAAATTAAAATACCGTTCAAAACGATTAAAGACATAAAAGTAGTAATTTTATACTCAGGAAATTTACTATCCTTATTCCAATAATCTCAGATACTAGATAATTTAAAAATACCAGCATATATTAATATTGCTAGCCAAATTTTAAATTCTTTCATTGTTAATTCTTTCCAATCACGCCCTTCTCCTGCATTCTTTACAAATGCATATTTATTTGTATTTTTAACAATTATTTCTATTTGTTCAAGAGAAAAAAAAAGAGAAAATATAGAATGAGGTGATGGTAAAAGGAGAAATCTCTAGATAAATTTATTTTAAATTTATGTAAAGTCTAATATGTTAAAAAGCATTAAAAGAAGGTGGTGGTGGAAGTTGCGCAATTTGTTCATCATTATTATTATCTCTTTCACTATTATTATTTCTACCTCTATCTCTACCTCTTTCTCTTCCTCTTTCTCTTCCTCTACCTCTATTACTACCTCTGCCTTGGATATTCTCTTCATGAATTTCTTCAAAATTATCAGAATTTTTGATATCATTATCATTTTCATCAGTAATATTGTGAATATTTCTTGCAAAATCAACAATAAACAAATCTTGCTCATCATATTTAATAGTATCCATGGTAAAAATAAAAAAAAATAAGTAAATATAATGTTAGAAATAAAAAAAATGCAAAACTCCAAAAACTCTGAAATTCTGAGGTTTTGATCAGCATTTTTACAAATTAATTTTCAGCTTAATTTTGCTGAACAGCCAGATTTTTAACTATATATATAACGGCCATATGTTGATTAATAATGTGGTAAAATTTTATAAAATTCCGGCTTTTATTAAAAAAGTTTTATATAGCCGATGTTATTTTTTTTAAAAATTGCAGGTAAATTTGCCTGCATTACCGTTTAAGGAATAGTTAATTTAGTATTTTGCAGCTTCAATTTTTTTCATTTAAGTTCTGCAAGAAAATTAAAAATTTAAAAAATTTAAAATTTAATAAAGAACATGAAAAAGCTTAACAGTTAAATATTGTTGTGTTTATAATTTATTTATTTAAAGATAAATGCACATAAGTAATGACATGCTAATGTAAGTGTATAGCAAATAAAAATATTTATTTAAATTTTTGTTTTTATATTTTAAAGAAAGCGAGCACTATCGAAAAAGTATATGACGAGGCTGGTAAAAAAGTATGATTTATATGATTTTTTTTTCACTACATATGTACAATTTTTCTATATTTAACAATCAAAGTAGTATGTATGATTTAAAATCATACATACTAACAAAAAATGCAACATACATACTATTTTACAAAATTATACTATACTAAAATCAGATACACCATTTTTAGGATGATGAGTGGTTTAAAACTTATGAATATTAGATAGTACTTTTCAGTTTGTTTTTTCATGTATGATGTATTACAATTACAATTAATAAAGGTTTAAATGTACTGCAGCAAAAANAAAAAAAAAAAAAAAAAAAAGATAATTAGTTATTTATTTATTTACAATAAATCCAATATACCATTCTAATTTCAACCAGAATTAATTTAGTTTTGCTAGATATAGTCACATCTCTCTTTATAAGCATATTTATTATATTGGCCCAAGTTACTTCCCTTTAGTTATACTATATAGTATTTTTTCCAAAAGGTGTGATTATATAGGAGGTTAACTGAAACATTTGATTTATCAAATATTTGATATAACAGATAATGACCAAAAAATCTTGGTTATATCTACTGTAGTAATTTGAGTTGGTATTATCCTCTGATTGGTACCATTTACACAATTATGCAAATGTAGTTATACCTACTGGATAGCAAATTTATATGTATTTATTTATCCATTTCTAGGAAATTTTGCAGTAAAAATTAACTATTGAGTATTAATTATATCTATAATGGATTGATTTGAAAATTTGAGTAATTCAGAAAGATTTGCATTTTCCAAATGAGAAAAACTTTCTTAAATTTATTTGTAATCTTAATATTATTTTCAAGCGTGATAGTAATAGTTCCAAAGTTTTTTAAAATTTAATTATTTTTTTAAAATCTTTTAAAATGCCATTTAACAATAAAATATACTATATTTATACTTACGATATACTATGAAACACTTACTATTGTGTAAATGGCAGGGGATAAACCAGTTATTTCCTGGCTAATTGGAAAAGTAAAAAATCGAAACATGATCGGCCTATCAGCCGATCATTTATCTAGCAAAATTTTACTTATTCCTAATTAGCCAGGATAAAAATACTTAAAACATCTTATATTAAGATTACAAAAGGATATAATATAATATTAGATATTTTTTATTTATAACCATTTTTTTATAAACTGAATTCTGCATTTTTTAAGTAAAAAAAGTGAAATTTTAGCCAATTTATCAAAGTAAATCACTTTGAAAAAAATCATGTAATTTAAGTATGTATCAAAAAAAATAGATTATTAAATCTTAATATTTGTTTATCACGACAATTATTAAGCAAACCAACCATGAATTATCACTTACAAAAATATTTACACCAAACAAACTTTCGATTTCAAATGATAATAAATAATTCCAAACATTTGATCACAAAGCTAAGTCTAAAATAATCGTATAATGTCCAATCTAGTAATATAAATATCATCCAGATGGCAAAACCTGTTTTACCTTTTAATAATAAAATACTAACTTTTTTTAATTAAAATGAACCAGAATTAACCTAATCATTATGGCATCACCGCAAAAAATGGTTGTTAGACCATGTTAAATTATTAATAAATAAATATAATTTACAATAAAAAAAATATATATTTACCTTATCTTTTAAATGAGCTAACCATTGATGATAACTCTTGACCGTATCTGTGCGGTCCTCTATAATATGTGACAAAAACCACAATCGTAATGATGGATCGCCGTCTTCCTTAACTATATAAAGATGAGGATAATAAACGCCACGTCGCATTTCTCTAGTTTTACCGATTATTGCATTCACCCGTTGTGAGAATGCATTATCAAGTTGTGGTAAAGAGACCTTTATTAAATCCGAAATCAAAACGTTAATATAGGAAATATCTTTATTATAGTTTAAATATTATATACCTTTCCAGCACGAATTTCTTCATATGATCGAACATCTAATAAATCTATACACAATTGAGGTGATACTTGTCTACCAATCCAAATAAAAATATTTTGACCGTCTTCTAATAAATATGCCCCATGCCGTTCTAATTTTTCACTACTCAAGTTAAGTGACTCGGGCATTATTGTACCTTCAGATCCATACGTTCCAGCCTTTATGAAAAAACAGAAATTTATTAAAAAATTCATTTTATCTATAAAACTTTAGAATATAAGGACGCTTACTTCCTGCGACAAATTATGTAGCGAATAGAATCGTGGGTGTAAATAAGGAATTAATAGCTGAGAAGGCATCGTCGTCAATAAACACATAGCATACGAACGCAAATCTGTTGGAATTTGCGAACTCGTACGAAGACCAACCTATTATAATCATATATTTTTAGTATAAAAATGTAATAAATTTAGTCTGGGCGCAAAAAAATACATACATGCTTTAGCAGCCCAAGTGATAACAAGGGTAATAATTTGAGATTATCACAAATTTGCAATTGCGGCGAGGCTCCCGACTGAGAACCTGTGAGAGCCGACTTGTATACACCAAGAATATCAATCATTTTATTAGTTAATGCATCTCGAGCATCTTCCAATTTTGAGGATAATGATCGTTCAACCGCTATTATTAGATAAATAAAAATGAATTAATATTTATTATTAATTAAACTCAATATATATGATTTAACATACCTTTATTTGCTAGTAATGTAGTTATGGCAATTTGATCAGCGGAAGTAAAAACCTCACTAATACTATTCGTTACTGGTAATGCGAGCGTAAGAACTCTAATTCGACGTTCACCTAGTAATTTTAAGGATATTATTAATAAACTCAAACGTAAGCAAAGTATTACTAGCAAATAAAAAAATTTACAAACCAAAACAAGTTGTATGTAAAAGAGCAGTCTGAAAGCATACTGTCGGAGTGGTTATATTTTCTTCTATACCCACTTCAATTGTATATGAGTGATCCCTTGAAACATTAGGCAAAGCCAGAAGATCCGTTTGACGAACAAAAAAATTACCATGGAAAGCAGTCATACGTATGCCTATGTAAATAAAATATTTGTATGTTATATATGAATAAAAAAAAATAAAAAAGAATAACCTGCTAATTAATTTACCCTTTGAAGCTCGTACTCTCATAACAGCTTCCAGTGCAACAGGACTTGCTAAAAATTCAGCAAATTCATGTGCAAATTTGAGTGCATCCTCTGATCTTCCTGCGTTGAATGCAGGGTAAAAATATGTTTGCCCTCCCGTATATCGTGGACAGCAACCTTGGTTTATGAGAATTATATGTAAATATATAAAAGTTTATGTCAAAATGGAAATCTATTGTAGAATGGAATGATAGAATACCTAGCGTGGCTACATCTGAATATTGTGAACCGAGTAAAAACATATCCACACAGACTTGAGACCGAGAACAGTCAACCGCAAATTTTTTATAAAAGGGATCCGCAGATTGTAATAATACAGATTCCTATATAAAGTAATGTCAAAGTTAAATAATAACCCAATTGATTAAATTAATTACAGGTAGTTAATTTGATTATTTACTTTAGGAGTACCCAATGCTTTAGGGTCTTCGCGTGGTTTTAGAGCTCCAGGATTAATATTCGGTAAACTAGATTGTAATACTACAATTTTTCCTCCAATTGGAGACTAAATTTAGATAATAGTTTGTAATTAAAATAACAACAAAATAAAAAAAAAAGGATAAATCAACAGTAAAAAGAAATTATTATATACAAACAATTAGTTTAAAACCGGCTAAAAGAGCAGAACCTAAAGCATTGCCAACAATCTGAGTGTCTTTGAACATATCACCAAGACTCCTAAGTAAAGACTCAACAACTGACCGAGATTCCGTCAAATTTACCAATAAATCATCTGGTTGTGGAAGAAATACATCCTCAAGATCAGATACAACAAGCATTTGTGGCGCTGATGCACTAGACTTTAAAATGGAAAGTTGGCGTAGGATTAATTATCATGTTACTAAAATTATGAACGATGATAAGATGAACTTCAACGAACATTGAGGCTATAAAAATGTAATGAAGTATCCACTGTAATAAAGCCGATCTTTGTACGATTTTCTTCATTAGGTATCCGATCCAATGACTCCAAAATGGTTCTTGCGGCTGTTGCAACTGCACCTTTATAACAAATAAGTAATACGTGATAAAAATAATTTCTTAGGTGAAATTTTTTAAGTTACATATAGAATAATATAATTGAGTGTATAAATTGAGTTTGCAAACTTAAACCCGTGTAGTGCTAATACGCAAACCTCAACTTCAACACGTAAAGTACACATTGGAAGAATTTTAAAACAACATAACCTCTCTCTCATCAAAGATTGAAATTTAAATCAAACAGTAAATAGATTACAAATAATCCAAATAAATTTTGAACGCTTGTAAATTCTCAATAAATACGTAAATCAGACTTATTAGATTGACACTTACCCGATTGCACTGCAGGATATGAAACGTCAATTACAAATAAATAAACTGGAGGTTGAGGCGGACGCACCTTAAGAATTATAATATTAAAGTTATCCTCATAAAACTATTAAAAGGATAAACAATAACTAATTCCTATAATATACCATATATTCTGTTGGCGCCACGAATTCTACGACACCGTGATTTAATTCGGCACGTTTCCATCTGTCTACTTGTTGATTTGTTTGTATGTCCCAGTCAAATTGAGGTGGAACTTTGTAATATGGTAAGTGGTAAATTAAAAAATAAGTAATAATTTTTATTAATAACTAACATTCCGTATTAACATTCTTACCATCATTTAACAGAAAACACATATTACACCTCCATTTTTGTCCACCTTCTGCAAAAGTAACGAATGGATTAATATATGTCCTACATCTACGGCATCTTGCTATGACAGTATCCGTGATAACAGGAACCGGATCCTGTAATAAGGAATTTTGATTTAATGTTTATTATTATTTTTATAAATCAATAGTTACATTCGAATAAACTTAATTACTTACGTCACCCTCTTTCAGACTTCTATAAGGAGTAATAATTAAGCCAAGAGGAAGTCGAGATTTAGATAATAGTGATGACGTGGCGGGAATGGCGTTGAGAGTGGATCGCTTATAGGATGGATCACAATTCGCTTTGTCCGAAGGAGTTACAGACGTCTTAAATCAGAAAAAGGTGGTGAACATCATGATGTTCAACACCACCTGTTGCTATATCGTTTTTTGAATGAAATCGAAATCTAATTAATAATAACTTACGTTAGGTGGCAAATTTATCGTTGGCGGTGGATCATCTAGATCTTTGACATTCGGTGGCATACCAATCAAATTAACGGAAATCAAATGTGCCTTTTAAAAAAAAGAGACGTTAAACTTTGAACTTAATTGATACGTCACGAAAATAAAATGTACCTGGGAAGGTCCTGCGACACCCATATTACTAAATTGATTCGTCAACGCAGTCATTGGCGACTGTTGTGGCTGCGTGTATTGCTGGTTATACGGTGAAGGTACGGATGGTGCCATGGATGTATAATTTTGATCTCCAGCAGGAGTAAAGTACTGAGGCTGTTGATGTTGTGGGTGTAATGGTTGCTGACCGGTTATATTAGAAGCCGCTGCTGGTGTAAAAGTTTGATATGTGTTAGTTTCCGTGTAAGCTTCATTTATTTGCTTAGGATATAAACGCTTTGATTTATGAGTTCCAACTGGCGGCGATGTTGCACGATTTCCTGTAGGTGACACTGGACTTTCAGTTGGAGGAGGAGAGGCAGAATTCGACTGCGCTACTTGATAACCGGAACCTGAAGTCTGTTGAACTGGATAAGACGGTAAATGTCCAGGTGTCGATGGTTGTATTTGAACAGGTCTATAGCCCGGCGACATTGGTGGTCTTATTTGACTGGCTATTCCTTGCGAAAAATTGACTGGAGCGGCACCAGAAGGGGGGACATTACTTGGAGGAGGTTGTGGTCGAAAACTGGCAGGCAATGGGGGCGATGGGCTAACACCCGGTGGAGGCGGTCGCGTTTGAGAGTTAGGTGGACCGGGAGGCGTATAAGGACGCCCTAAAGGTGATATTTGTTGGCGAGGATCTGTAACGGGTCGTTGATTTGGAGAAGCACCACCAGGACCAGGAGGTTGCGGACGGTAAGGAGAAGGTCCTCTTTGTATTGGTTGATTTGGCTCAGTATTCTGCATCGGACGAAAGTTTGGAGACGGTGGAGGACGGTTATATTGAGTTGGTGGTAGATTAGCCATCGATTTTTTTTAGTTTCTATGACCATACGCAAGAGAATTCAATTATTTTAGTAGTTCGATCAACTTTCGGAATTTGGCCACTAAACACACAAACCTTGAATGGTACTAAAGCTATTTTTTAGTAACGATTGACTAAGAATAAATGATTTTTTTTTTTGAATCCTAAAAATGATTTCGCCTATCACAATTTTACAAGTGGCATCTATACACAAACACGTGTCAATGGTGATTGACACGTTCAGTAAAAGTTTATTTTGAAGTAATTTTACTGAATCCTTGATTCATTGGACAGTATAGATCTTAGATCGCAATCAGAATCAGATAAATAATCTTTTAGCTAAAAGAGCATTTTTTGATATAATAGTATATAATAATGAAAATTATTTATCTAAGCATAACTTTTTTTTTTTGTTTTTTTATTTGAAATGCAAAAAAAATGTCTCTTTAATCATATATTTTCCCGGTATCAATGATTATTTACTTTGCCTTGTAATAGAAGGAAGGTAAAATTTTTAAATGAAATAAACAAAGTAAATAATGAACCGAAAAATCAGAACTCTATAATTACTAAACATAAAAATACAATATATTAAGTATAAACTATTATTTAAATAATTAATTTGCTAATGGCGTTTCTTGATGATTATGATTCTTGTGCATCGAAATCTAAAACTTCCATCACAGTTTTTCCCTCCCTTTGTAATAAAACAACAGCCTTTGTCTCCTGGAATGCCAATCTCCAAATAGCATTTCCCGCACTTGTCATTTCTCGAATAAAATCGCCAGTTTCAATATCCCATAATTTGACATGCCCATCATTACCACCAGAAACAATCCGTTTTTCATCAAATTGTAAACATGTAACAGAATTGTCATGGGCTGCAATGTGCTGGACGCAACGGTTTGTATCTAGGTCCCAAATTCGAATCGCCCCATCACTACCTCCAGTAACAAGGATCGATTCATGAAGTTGTAATTGTCCAACGAGTGATGTATGACCCTGTAAAACTCCTAGACAAAAACCTGTTTGACGTGACCAAACACGTGCAGTAGAATCAAGAGAACTACGAAAGAATCAAATAAAACGTGTTGTTAGAATTTTTTAAATTAATATAAATATTCTATAAAAATACTTACCCAGTAACAATTTTTTCTCCGTCAAAAGCTATGGAATAAATTTGTGAATAATGTCCTTGAAGAACATGTAAGCACTCACCGGTTACAATATCCCACACCTACATACGTAAAAAAATGAATCATGTTAAAACAAATTAAATCAATGACCATCAGAAAAATATGTACTTAATATATTTACACGGGCCGAGCAATCATAACTTCCAGAAACAACAATATCACCATATATTTCCATGCATCTCACACTCGCTTGATGCCCAGCAAGCAGGTGAAGCAGTAGACCCTCTTCAATATTCCAAACACGCAAGGTTGCATCACGGGAACCGCTAACAGCAATTGTCTTGTCTTTCATTTTTAGTGAACGTACAGTTGACGTATGGCCATGAAGTACATGTTTACATTTGGCTGTAATGATGTCCCAAACCCGTACTTCTCTATTAAAATAAAGATATTATTCACTATGGCCAAACAGTTTAACAATGTAACTTTCCTTACCTATCACATCCTCCAGAAACTAAAACTTCGTCCATATATTGCAATGCCCACACACCACCTTCATGGCCTGATAACGTTTTTATATATTTGCCATCAGAAACATCAAATATATGAATTTTTTTATTATCCATTCCCACTACTATATAACTTTGACACATTTGCAATGATGTGACAACTCCAGTATCAGGGCTTATGTGAGTAACAAGAGTTCTCCCCCCATGCTTCCAATTAGATTCGACTATATATCGCCTTCGAAAATGATCCTTGTACGAAAACTTATTGATTCTAGAAGGAGATTCACTTGTTGGAGAAGGTGGTAATTTAGGTGCTGCTGAACTGCGTCTCCTAAAGTGATGGCGTACACAAAGATTCTTCCAAGTAAACTCGTCATTTAACAAAGACCGCCAGAATTTAGAAACACTTGATGCTCTGGAAAGAGTTTTTGGATCATTTATAAATGATAAAATATGTAGACTAAGTTCTATTGGAAGGTCTTTAAGAAAGTCACGTTTCAAACGTGGTGATATATAATTAGACACAAAAACAAGCTGTTCAGTATTGCAAGAATTTAGAAGTTCAGCAAGAAGACGTTGTCTCTGCAAATTGTCCATGTTCTGAAAACCCATTCTGACTGTTCGGCTAAACTCTTCTTGAGCCGAAGGTGGAAATCCTTCGGCATTTACAGGTGGGAATAATTGTGGCGAAGGAGCAGGAGTAGGTAAGCTGTGGAAATTTGTCGTAGTGACCCACGGTATTTCAGGAGGAATGGGGCGTTGCATTATAGGCAAAGTTTGTTTTTCCTGACTATTACTTGTACCTAGAGAAGAATCTTCAGTATCTCTCCCCTTGAGCATCAGTAATATTATGTTTACTTAAATAAGTTGTTATATAGATACAGTATTAAGATCTTTAGTGCGATTATAAACGAAAGAAAATGCGAATTCAAAAGATGGAGAATATGAAATTCGGTTAGAAGAGTTAAGCTTTGAGACAGAAGTGAGTTTCAGATAGCTGCAAGTAAACAAAATAGTCTCATTAGTCGATTTCATATTATATCAATAATTTGGACATAATTTTGGCCAAAATTAAAAATGCGAAAAATTTTTTTCCCATCTGGTCCTTTTCCCCAAATATTATTGGTTCAAATTATTGTAACGTTTATATAACAGACATGTGCACGTATCGCATCTATGTCACGTAATTTTGTAATTTGCATTGCGTTTATTTTCCAAATACATCACTATTATTTCGATTTTCATTGAATTTACTGTATAAAAAAATTTACAATTCAATTATCACAATATTTTTACTATGAAATTTTACATACAAATTCAGTAGTCAATTTTTATTAAAATTAGACAAATATTAAAAAACTTTTATTAGAGATGACTTTTACATTTTGTCCAATATATAAAAAATTTTAAATTTGAAAAATACTTATTTATTATTTGAATACAGTGTGTAATTTATGTCAAATATTCTTTTTATGCTGCTGAAATTAAACTTATATTGCAATATTAATATAGATAAACTAAGTATTAAAAAAACAAAAATCAGATTTATTGAAAACTGTATTATTAAACCAACCTTTTCTTCACTAATTTGATTCCTTGTAAAAAATTACATGTATTTTAAAGTCAAAAAAGTAAGAAAAGATAGCTTAATATAAAATTTTCAAATAAATATTATTTTGTTAAGGGTAGCTGAAGTTAAATATTAAATTCCATAAATAACTTTTTAAATTTTCAAAATTTTAATAAAAACATTAATTTTTAACATTTTTTTAGAAAAATCAATTCCAAAGTTGAATACTGAATCTTATAGGTAAAGTTTTGAATTATTAAAACTTTAATAAAAAAATGTTAATTTAACATTTCTTTTTATACATATTATTGTAGGAAAATCAGCCATAGATAAAGTTTTAAATTAATAAAAAATGTTAATTTTTAATTTTTTTTTATATTATTATAAAAAATTAGCTCTGAAATTAAATATTGAATCCTATAGATAAAGTTTCAAATTTTCAAAACTTTAATAAAAAACATTAATTTTTAACATTTTTTTTTATTATATTATTGTAAGAAAATTAGCTTCAAAGTTGAATACCAATCCTAAAGATTAATTTTGAAAAATTTTTTATCCAAACTATTAAAAATAGAATAACATTATTTGGTGACCTATCATTATAATAACCCTATCATATGACTTAATAAAAATTTTAATTGTCTGATTTTTAATTTTTGATTAATTGATTTTTTATTTCACAAAAAATATTTTATTTATGGTAAAATTTACAATATTAAACCTATAAAATTATACACTTATACTAATCAAAATAGTTCAATTCAGACTAAAATCAGATGTCTAATTTTAGTCTAAATTGTAGCTTAAAATTATCTGATTTGTAATATAAATTATATTTTTCATTTGTATTTCAAACGGTTATCATTCATATATTCAGAATAAAAATTTAAATATAAATCAGACATATATCAACCAATATTATTAAATTCAGCATTAAAATTAATTTATTAATTTATAAAATTCAGAATAAATTCAGATAAAATGTAAAATAAATTCAGATAAAATTCAGATAATATAATAATTTTTATTACATATATATGTTGTGCCTCAGATCGATTCTTGCCTCAGATTGAAGCTCACGCACCTCACATTGAGATTGTCACCTGACGCATCTCATTTGAATCATTCAATAAAGTCTGTTATAAGTAAACTTTTTTTCTCATTAATTAAACCACTTTTTGTAATATAAACAAACTTGTACGCCATAATGAGTTACATGTTTCCTGAAATCTTTATGTAAATCCGATTCATATTGAAGTTTATACTTGTATTTTATCTGAAAAATCATTAAATTTTAAGTCATTTTTCAAATGAAAAGATTTAATGAGTATGATTCTAATTAATCTGAAATTTTAGTATTGTATACTTAAAATAATGATAAATAAGTTTACTTAGTACTTAAAAATACATTAAAATTGGAAATTTTGATGTTTAATTATAGCTCATTTTTATTAGCAATTGAGGTGCATCAGATGACAATCTCAATCTGAGGTGCGTGAGCTTCAATCTGAGGCAAGAATCGATCTGAGGCACAACATATATATAATAATAATAATAACTAAAAATAAAATAAAAATAATATTTATTCTTTTTGTATAAGTTATCAGAAATTATATAGTGCGAAAATTTGCGCAAGTTTACACATCATAATATTTCATAAGTTTCCAGACCCACTGCAAGTTTGCGTAAGCGTAATATTTTGTAACTTTTTAAAATATTTTAAAATATTATGATATGCAAAGCTTCATAATTTTATGATTTGTAATATTCCGTAATTTTGCAGTTTGCAATATTTCATAATTTTACATAATATTTTATAAGTTTTCAAACCCGCCACAAGTTTGCGTAAGCATAATATTTTGTAACTTTTTAAAATATTTCAAAATATTACTACAGTCAACTCTCTTTATAGTCACACATTTGGGACAGTCCATATTTGGTGATTATAAAGAGATGTGACTATATAAAAAATTTCTTATATTTGTATATCATAATTCCGGCCAAAAATTAACATAATTTTAGCCAGAATTATACTTAAAACTTTATTGTATCGTAACTTCGCCAATATTAATCGTAGAGAGATGATC